AACTTGCTAAAATTTTAACAAATGTATCACAGTTACATAAGATATAATCACATTAGGGAAAATCAGGTGAAGAATACACAGAAATTCTGCTTTCTTTGTAACTTTTCTGTAAATCTAAATTGTTCCAAAATGTATAATTTATTTAAATACTATTAGCATAATTATAAAAGAAGTTGCACAATCTCAAATGGGGAAAGATAGAAGGGAACTAATCTCCAGATCATTTCCCCCCTCAACTTTATAAACCAAAATCTACTACAAGCACCCCAAGGACCTAGTCTGAAAGCACACCACAACTTCAAGGTGAACACCCTTCTCTTCCACTTCTCAGTCTACTAACTCAGGTCACAGAGTGTCCTTCCAATGCTCAATCCCCCTCAATCACTTCAGGAGCCCACTTCCCCAACCACGCAAACCTGTGGTCAAACACTTCCATCCTGGCTATGCAAGGATACACTTAAGGTATCCTTGACCTTCAGGCATTCCCAGGCCTAAATGGCTCCCAGTATCCATCTTCTCAGTGATTAAATTGGGTTATTTCTAACATGTATGTTTGTTGTGAGAAACAAATAATAAAAGAAGTACTCTGGGAATTCTAAATCACCCCACAAGCATCATATATTAGGACCTACTGCTGGGTTAAGTAAGAACTATGCTAATTTAGCACACAACAAGTTTGTGTTCAACTGAATCTTCACTCGGTTTGATAATTCTATTAATTGCTACTTGGTCATTTCATATCATGCTCCCTAAAAATTACACTAAAAAGGTATTACAGTTTAAACGAAATAATTTCCAAGACCCCTTGCAGCTCATTGGTTCTGAGTACCTACTTTACTGAGAAAATTGAGGGCCCAGTCCAACACTTGGATTTTTTCCTCTTCTGGATTTCAAATGTTTCTATGCTCACCCTCCATTCCTGCTCTTTTTTCTTAAGATATGAGCATGCAACCTCTCCTTTCCTTGCATATCACTATCAACTATATTCTCTACCCCACATCTGCCTTCTTTCTTCTGGGGCCTAACCATTCTCATGAGCACCTTCACCCTCATTTGATGTCTTTCAAACAAACATATCTCCTTTCCATTAGGGGAAAAAAAATCTTCACTTGATCCTCCTGTCTTCTCTGCTATCCTGTATTCCTTTTCACTATCACTTTCTACCAGTAACTACCAACATTTCTCCTCTCATTTTCCTCAATCTGAAACCTGGCTTCTACTAAGATTGCTGGCTAACCTCATTGTTCTATGTCTCAGCCCCTTACTCCTAGGTACTATTAATAATATTCTCCTAGCAATCCTTCCTCCTTTTGCACCCAGGACCCTCATTATCTTGGTTACTTCCCTGCATCTCCAACCTTCCTCTAAACATGGACATCCCCCAGCGCTCCATCTTCAGTTCTCTCACCCTCTCTAATAAGGAACTGGCATCCGCAGAGACCTGGACCTTTCATTTCAGCTTCCATCACACACTGAACCACCTACCCTTCACGTAGGCCCCATTTCTCAACCTCCCTAGTTTGGAGAATGACTCACCCAGCCCAAGGCAGTTCTTCCAAACTCACTCTTAATTCAAACAACTTCCCAATACTTGTTGCTTCTTTCCTGAAAGTCTCTTACCTATCAAAATATGTCTCCGAGTAAGTCCTTTTATTAGTCTTATTGTGGTCACCTTTGTCTAAGTCCCATCATCAGTATTTGAAATATCCTCTCTCTCAACCCCAATTTCACCACCCTACTAGACTTTTTTATCAGCCCCCATCAACTCACATCTATAGCATTTCTAATACCCTTCTATTTAGTTTCTTTCTGGTAGATCATTCTTCCTTCCAGGACTTTCCTCAGATCACTGCCACAGAAATGTACCAATCCAGTATTTAAGGACTGTGGACATTTCCCCTCAGGTAATAAGCACTTTTTTCCTATTATCTCTGAAAAACTTTCAGAGGCTTCCCAGAGTCCATGAATAAAGCCCAATATCTTCACAAGACTCTCAGCTTCTGAACCCACCTCCCAAACATGCAGTTTAGGCTCCAGGATTTCCCATCTACTTTTAGTTTTCCATGCCTAGAATGCCGATTCAAGGAACAGTTCCACAGGCCCTTTGCCTAGAACACCCTGCCTCAACCCTTGTTTCTACCTGGTTGAGTCCCAGGCATTTTATCTTTTCTCTCTCTCTCTCTCTCTCTCTCTCTCATACTGGGGATTGAACCCAGTGGTGCTTTGCCACTAAGCTACAGTCCCAGCTCTTTTTATTTTTTATTTTGAGACAGGGTCTCATTAAGTTACTGTAGCTGGCCTTGAATTTATGATCTTCCTGTCTCAGTCTCTCAAGTCATGGCAACCAGGCATCTTTTAATTCCCAATCCATCCTTATTTCCTCTTTAAAGCTCTTCCTATAAGCCACCAAGTTGAGTCCAGCCAGGCCTTCCATGTTAACAATGAGCTTTGTACAGATGTCTAATAAATTTAACTCATATATGTCTTGTGGGGGAGGTTTCCTTGAGAGGGTGGTCCTTGTCATCTTCAAGTACCAACCCAGCACTTAAGGACTGGGAACATTACCCTGCAGGTAAGAAGCACTTTTTTTACTTGCTAATTCTCTGGAGCACAAAGCCTTCTCTCAGCCTAAATCTACAGGACTAAACAATTGAGAATGTCATGTTAATAACAGCACTATAAAGTCTACAAAATGGCAGTGCATGGGAGTGTTCAATAATAGCAGAATACAATACACCTCCTCCACTCCTTTCATTAATTCCCTAAGAGTTTTGCCTTTATTGGAACTTAAACAGAAAAGGCACTTAAAGAGTTTAAATGGACCAAATATTAACCAGCCTCCAATGTGCAAACTGATTTTAAAATAGCCCTTGACCTGAAAATATAGGTATATTCAAATACACACCCTGATAAGAAAAGACAGATAGAGGATAAGAGTTCAACGTCTCAAAGCTTGCCAGGTCAAGAGTTTCTTATGATGAATCTAAAAGTACAGCAATATTCTAACACAGCTTGAATATGTTCATCCTTATGATTGTACATGAGGTAGAGTTACACTGTCTAAGAAAGCTTAACAAAACAGGTTACAGATGGTAACATTTATTCTCAAAAAACAAAATCCAGGTGGGCATGTATTAATGAAAGCCAACAGTTGAGCATTCATAAATAACTAAATAAGCTGTGAGGTACCCAGTCACTGCTATAAAAAACAGTTCTAATGAGTCAAATCACACCACAGAAATAGTTTCCATTTTAAATACATTATAGTGTTAAAAGATAAAACTAATTCAAAAGTTATTTTACACATGGCTCCCAGAACCTGTTTTAATAAAAGCTTGCTAGCTTCTCCAGTTATGAAAGTCAACATGTGTAAACTGCTATTTCCTTGTTTTTAAAGTATACCAGTCATAACTTTCATATATGAATACACTACCAGTATAACTCCACATCATGTGTGATCACAAGAATGGGAAGTTATACTCCATGTATGTATGTCAAAATATACTCTACTGTCATATATATCTAAAAAGAACAGATATAAAATTTTAAAAATAAAGTATACCAGTGCTAAAACAAAATAAATCCCAACCTAATTAATTCTATTTTTGGTTGGCCTTCCAAGGCAGTTTTCACAAAGACTATTCTGGGATCATGATTTCTAGCTTTATAACTTCAACTTTCAGTACCTGGAAACTGTTATATTTTGTGTAATTCCTTGATACATATGTTCTACCATTGATTCTCATTTTATTCCACCCCCTATTAAAGAATAGAAAATAAGATGTCATCACATTGATTCTGAAGTTTCAGTCCTAAAATCACTGTTACATTTATTGCTTCATGATATTATGTGATATTTTCTTATCAGTGCTTTGTAACTTGGGTTATATCAAGTTCATCAATATTAACTTTCAGGTGGAACCTTTCCCAAATCAGAACTGTCAGGGAGTCTAAGTAATGGTACAAACCAAAAGAAAAGGAATCAGGAAACTTAGGTTCTAGTTCCAAAAGACATTGAATTTGACCCTGGGCAATCCACTTCACTTCTGTAATTCAAACTGCAATACAGATACCTGCTTCCAAAAAAAGGAATGCTTCTAGAATAGTTTCATGTTTTATGTTTCTCAAACAAAACAGAATTTTACAAACAGAAGGTTTTATAAAACAATCTATTCTCGGGTTCAAGTTCCCAAATTATCCAGTCCAAAAGATCATAAAACTGCACTTCTTCAAAAGTCTTACTTGCACCACTATATTACCAAATACACTGGAAGTCTTTTTCTAGCTTAAATAGAATAGTAGTCCTACCTCTACTTACTCTTAAATGTGAAGCAAGTTAATCTACAGAAAAGGGAGTGAAAATTCCTCATGAATTACCATGTCGGGTAATGAAATCTATTGACAGAAGAACTGCACTATCTGCTGGTGAACTCAAAAGAGGCTGAAAGTTTACAATTATATCACGTGTACGAGATAGTCTCAAACCTCCAAAATCTATTATTACTAAGAAAGGGCATAGGAAATGAAAGCGCCAAGTTAGCTCAAGAAGCTAATCCTCCACCGACAAGATCCAATGACATGTTAGATGCAAGTCTTTAAGTTTAGCCCAACTTTGCCCCCTCTAACTAGAAAAAGAAGTGAAGTGGCAGGTATCAGAAAACTGCAGCTCATAGGGTGACAGGCTCCATCCTGAGTTCAGCGTCGGTCCCAGACCTCAAATAAGGGAGTTGGAATAGGGAAGAAGATAATTGTGGCCAAGTTTATGTATCAAGCTATACTGGCAGCGTGGCGTTCATCCCGGGAAACGCACCGTCACCGGGGACCGGGTTCTCGACCCACAGGGGAAAGGAGAAAAGAAAATCACACCGACAGGAAGGTGCAGCAAACGACCCGCACCTTCACCTGACATTGTGTGGACACCATCCTCGCCCCCCAAGTGTCCCAGCCCCAAATAGGACCCGGCCGGGACGCGGTCGAGTGCCTCTCGCGGCTCCACTTACTTTGTCGCTGGTGCTCTCGGTTTCGTGGTCCCCACCAGCCGCCTCTCCCTCGCGGGGTGGCGGCGCCACCGCTCCCCCGGGGCCGGGGCAACTTCCCCGGTGCCTCAGCTCCAACATCTCCCGCTCCCGCGCAGCCGTGGCGGCCTCCTCCAGAGCCCCGAAATCCGAGCCGCGCGCGGGGTCTTGCTCGCTGGCCGCTTTGCCACCCCGCAGCCGCGCACTCGACGCCCAGCCGAGCCGCGACCCCTAACACCCCCCCACCATAGAGCCGCAGCCGTGCTGCGCCGGGTCACCCCCAAAACGGCATCAACGAGCAAGCGCTCGAGGCCGTCTCCAGGAAGCGCGGCGCCGACGACCGCCTCGGGGTGCTGGGTAGGCTCGGGGCACCCGGCCCAGTGGAGAAGGCGGGGACGCAGCGCGGCCGCCCGTTGCCAGGTGCGCGTCTCCACGCAGAGGCCCAGGTGGGAGGGGAGGAAAGGCGAGGAGAGAAGAAGGAAGCCTGACCCGCTTTAGCGCTTCGCCCGGCACCCGCAGCCTGGGCAGGGCCACTCCCCGCCCCGCCTCCCGGAGCCGGACTCCGGAGTCGGCAGGTCCCGGGCCCCCCCCAACACCTTTCTCGGGTTCCTGCCTCCCGCAGCCAGGTCACGCGCCGTAGGCCCCGCCCCGCCCCGCCCCTCTGCGCTGCACTGCGGTTCCCACAGCCCCGCCTCCCTCGCGGCGGTGACGTCACGGTTCCGAGTCCCCCGCGGCCCCGCCCCCGTCTCCGCGCGCACAGGTGGGGGCTTTGAAAAAGGTGCGAGAGGCTGGGGGGCTCGGAAAGGGTCGGGGAGTGGGAGGAGGCATCAGCTCGGCGCGTGCAACGAAGAGTGCGAACTTGGAGCCTCGTCCCAGAGTTACTGTGAGAGCTGGAAGAACTACTCGAAGACGCACGGTAAATCTGGTAAACAGTGGCCGTGCTCAGCAGTACTCCCTTCAAGGGACTCCGCGGCCGTCTCAGCTTGACACACTGCGGTGTTTCGGAGGCTCAGAGGCGTCCAGAAGCAAAAACTTGTCTGGCAGGACAAACTCGTTGGCTCCGCTGCATTCCAGCCCTGTTTCATCACCTTGAAAAGAGGAGATACAGTCGCCTTGCTGGGCTTGTGGGTCTGGGTTGGTCAAGAGTTTTAATCACAAACATAAGTCCTGTCTTCGAGAAATTCAGTTCTGAGTCACAAAATTTCACCACGTAGGGTCCTGAAAAAGCCTTAAATGCCTAGGGTACAGTTGCCAACCAGCTAGACTCACCAGTTATGGACCTTGGGCTGCTAAAGTTGAAACAGAGCATAACACCTGCATTAATTCCAGTTCAAACTCTGTTACAAGGTGATTAGTTTTATTGACATGTATCTGACACCTGGTTATCGTGACAAAAATGACAAAAAGGGGAGGGGGGGGGTGCTTCACATACACAGGACAGCATTCAAGAAGAATGCCCTTACTTGCGTGCGGTGGTGCAAGGCTGAAATCCCAGCGACTCAGGAGACGGAGGCAAGAAGATTGTACAAGAAGGTTGTAAGTTCAAGACCAGCCTCAGCAATTTCGTGAGACTGTCTCAAAATTTAAAAAGTGGGTGTGGGGTGTAAGTCAGTGGTAAAGCGCCGCGGGTTCAATCTCCAGCACAAAAAAAAAAAAAAAAAAAAAAAATAGAGAGAGAGAAGAAAACCAAAAGTCACAAAGTAGGATGCGTTAAAAAGCAGAACATAGGGACACCATTATACTTCACCAAACAGACTTTTTAAAGCTGTGAGTTCAGTTTGGGTTGCTACTTTTTCAAAAGAATATAGGGAAACTATAGCTTATTAACTTACAGGAAGAGTAACAAAAATGACAAGATGAAAAATGCTATGAGCTGTGAACATGATGTAATTGTCATTAGGAACAGAAGATTATGGTGACTAGATTAATCAATTGTTCTTTTTGGAGGACCAGAAATGAAGGACTGCCTAATAGGAAGGTAGCCAAAGTAATAGCTACAGAGAATACTAAAGGCAGTAGTGAGGTTTCCATCTCTGGCTACCCCACAGCACAAAGGATGAAAAGTGTTCCATTCTAACCTCCCTGGAAGTCAAGTGTGGGGTTCTAGTTCCACTGATGCACCTAATTGGCTAGGTGTCCTTTGGTAAATGGTTAGGCAATATGGTTCCAGCTATAAAACAAGAAGAATGACTTCCGTGGTCCCTTCCAACTCTCACAATATCAGAATTCAGCCCTTCCTTTCCCTAGTACTTCAAGAGAAGGGGACCCAGCATAGCAAGCTACCTGAACTGAACACCTTCCTCTTTCCCTTTTACCCTGTCGACCCCTTAGCTCCTTTGGTTTTCTTCTTCCTTCCTAGCAAGAGAAATAGAATCCTGGCAGGAGGGAAGAACAGAGGACAGTAGCTCAAAATGGAAGAGAAATAATATTTCTCCACCCAGGAAACAGAACCAGTGCAAAGAACACCAAATAGAGTGCTTTACTCCTTTACCTCACCCCTTCCTTAAGCTCCACCACTTCCTGTATTTTAGCTGAGATAGCATTTTCTTTCAGTCTTCGTTATAGTTATTGCCTCTGTTGAGCAATTAAACTGAGCCCAGGCAGCAAGAACCACAATTGAAGCTCTTACCCAAGGGCCAGCCCCACCAAGCTTAAGTGGTCAGAGATGTTTGCTAAAGAAGTGAATGAAGAAATGAATGGGCAGCAGAGATGTAGCATAAAAAGGGAAATATATTTAGTATTTACATTTTTAATAAAAGGATCTATGTTAGACTTACAAAGGTACTTAATTTTCTTCATAGTTTATATAAAAAAAGAAAAAGAATTTTGATATATATTAAAGGGGTTCTAGTAATGATTTCTGCATTTTATTTAAGATCTATTACAGTATATTCAAGCACAACTGGCCTTGCCGAAATGTTTTCATACTTTTCCAATGTCTTTTTTCTCTCCTTCTTTTCCTTTTCCCCTCCCCCCACTTTTTTTTCATTCAGAGAATTTAAGATCTCCAAATGTATTGCATTTGTGTTTCCATGATACAGAATCTGGGATGCAATAGTTTCTAAGGTCTCACCTATTCATTTTACTAGAATTTAACCTAGTAAAGGACTTCTAGGAAACCCCAAACACAAGCATGAGTTTAATGACAGGAGATATTTAGCCAATACATATTTCTTGAGTGATTTAAAGATTTATACTTTGGTGGTCTTGGAATTATTTATAACTCTTAGCAAAGGATTTGCCAGAGGGGTAAGAGAGAGTGCTAACATGGTTATTTGTATGGTGTCTGTTTTAGCTAGACTTTTTTTTAATGCCTTTATTTATTTATTTATCTATTTATTTATTTATTTTTATGTTGTACTGAGGCTTGAACCCAGCGCCTCACATGTGCTAGGCGAGTGCTCTACCACTGAGCCACAACCCCAGCCCCTAGACTTTTTGTTTTTACCTTCTCTTTTAACGGAGAGACCTGTTATCATTCCTCTCTGAGTACCCTCAGAAGTTTGCTGGACTGATAATCATTCCCCTCTCATGTGGGCATTGAAGCTGCTTTCCACATCAGAGGCTCACAGGCGCCTGGCTGGAATGTCCCCAGTTTGCCAAGGGAAGAAGAATCTTCCTCAGCCAACCATTTCCACTTACTTGGATATCCACATTATAGCTTTTGTTGCTTGGCCTATTTTTCCTCTGTTGCCCTCTGTCAACTCTGCATGTAAGTTAGAGGTATAGCCAATTTAGGCCTACCAGAGAGATATTTTGTGGGGAAAACTTGAGGGACCATTTATGTGTATTTTCTTATCTTTAACAAAACTATACAGAAGAACAATAGTATACTATCAAGTTTTATAGTGAGAGGGCATTGGAGGAAAGCGCAATGGTATAGTTAAAAACATGGGATTTATATACTGACAATCTTGGGTTTAGGCCATAGTTCTGCCATCTTCTAGCTTTGAAATAATTTAGCTCATGCAGCATTCTCATCAAAGGCAGCTGAAGCTACATCCTAAATTACATGCCCAAAGCTGAAGTAATAACTCTTCACAAAGCACCTTCATATACAGCATTTCATTTGTTTGACTCAACATAAAATAGCCATTGCAAATATTATTCCCATTTTACAAGAAAAAGAACTGAGACCCAGAATGATATACAAGTTTACAAATCGAATATGGGATTGAAATGTAAGTTTGAATACTTCAAATTCTGCCTGGTCCATGATGTAAATAAACAGTAACAGAAATTACTAACACCTGAGGGGTTTTTATAAAGTACATGGATTCTGGAGTCAGCCTGAGTTCAAATCCCAGCTCTGCTACCTACTGGCCTTGGTCAAGTGTCAAAACCCCCTCTGTGTATCAGTGTCCTCATGTGCAGTAAAATGAGGATAATGGTAATGATACAATCCTTCTAGCATACTTATGATGATGAAATTGGTTAAAATATGTAAAATACTGAGAACAGCATCTGCATAGTGGAGGGCTACATAAATGTTACTTATAATAATTATTCATATTATTGAAAACTGAATTCCCCAAGGAGAACAATATTAGACCTCCAAACTCACTGAAATATCCCAGAAAACTTTAAAGAAAAAAACGGATATTTTATTATTGCTTTGGGGAGGATGGTAGAAATTAGGAACTGGGGTAGGGTAACTTTTCAAACAAGAACAAAGAAATCACCAGTCCACCAAAATAATTTGTGTCTTATCCTTGGAATCAATGAAATTGGCATTTCCCATTGTCAACTGGAATCAGTTACTAATATGTATATAGATAATGAGTGTGGAATTCCTTACATTTCTAGCTTCTTCACCAAATCCTGATAACTCTAGGCAAGTTATATTTTGGCCACTTAATTCCTATGGAAAATAGGCAGCATAATCTATCTGTAAATTCACAAATCATGTCAAAGAATGATGTACCTAAGTGTGATTGATATAAGGTGCATAATTTTAGCAAAAATAAAAGTGTTATAGTTTAAAATACATAAAAAGATATGGGTACATGTGCACCTTTGATACTGCATTCATGTATTTTGTTATTGACTATGGCTGGATTTAGGTACTTTTTGAAGAGGAACAGATTGGTAACTGTCCTTGGAAGGTTGGATCACTAAGTTTCTTCCAATCATACCAATTATCTGGTTTAACAAATTTCTGAAATCCAGAGGTAATGGTCAAGGTTCTTAGATACAGAAAGAGAAACATCATGGCTGTTTGTGATAAGAAAACATTGAAACATAGTTTGATTACTATAGTTTAGATCTCAAATGTCCCCCAAGAGCCCTTGTCTTAAACGCTTGGTCCCCATCCTGTGGCACTGTTGGGATGTTATGGAATCTAGTAGAAGAAACGTCATTAAAAGTGTGTCTTCAAGGAGATACTAGGGACCTCCCCGCAACCTTGCTCTCTAGCCACCACAAGGTGAAAATCTTTGCCAAATCTGCTTCTTATCCTGATGTTCTGCCTCACCTTAGGCCAAAGGTACGGGGCCAAGCAATCATGGACTGAGATCCTGAAACTATGAACCAGAATAAATCTGTCCTCCTTTTTAGTTGATTTTCTCAGGTATTTTGTCACAGTGATGGAAAGCTTAC